AAGGCTGTCTAAAGACTAAGGTGTTCTTGACCTGAGCCATGTTATTTTTATTTGCTTTTTGTGCACGTGAAAGCTGGGCATTAAGGAAGACTATGGAACTGTTGCCTTTGAACTGTGGTGTTGGTGAAGGCTAGTGAAAAAATATATATATATTTGCCAGAATAACAAATCTGTGTTGGAGGAATTGCAGACATCGTGCTCCTTGAAGGCGGTGTTGGTGAAACTTCATCATAAGACCTTGAACATCTTGTCAACACTGACTCATTGCCATCAGTCATAGCTGACCCTCTAGTCGGATTTCAAAAGCTGAAAAACACACAGGCGAAGACTGCCCACCTGTTCCTGTTGAACAGGTGGGGGTGGGGATGACAGGGACTCAGACTTTCTGCATTTAGCTTGTCGATTAAAGTCCTTGACAACTAGGCCACCAGAACTTCCTAGAGCAAAAAGTAGAAGGAAGGTCAAAGACAGGAAGACCTGCAACAAGATAGAATGACAGAGTGACTGCGTAACAGGCTTGAGTGTGGCAGGCATCATGAGGACGGCACAGGATAGGACAAGATTTTGACCTGCTATTCATAATGTCACTGTGAGCGCCTGTCCCGTGGGGATGACCTTCAACAAGTTATATGGACACAATGAGTGCATTAGCAGACTTGAGCATGGCAGAGATCATGAGAACCGTGCAGGACAAGGCAAGGTTTCGATCCTATTGTTCGAGAGGCTACTGTGAGTATTGCCGACTGGATGACACCTAACAGCAACATCTCTGTGCGGCAGCTGGCTACCGTGTTGGAGAGGGCAGCCAGCTGTTGGCTCTACCATTGAGAAGAGAAACTAAACTTATTGAAACAATTATCAGAAGCAATAATGAAAAATGTTTCCACCAGTTTTAATTGTATTGGAGTTTGTGTGTATTATTGAAATACCCTTTTCAAGGAACATCAATTGGTCATTCAACCATAAAATTTATACTTTAGTTATATACTATGATAAAATGAATTAGTCTTATAGTGGTGATGTCACCATGTATTTATTACATCAAAATCAATCCTTCATACAACCTGATACAGGTATGGTTTGATCTTTTTTTAATGGAGGAAACGGGAATAGAATCATAGGGTTGGTATGTGGCCAACCTGAGGTTTCAAAGCTAACTTGACGACTTGATCTTTTCACTTCACCATCTACAAGGCTGGGTTCCATGCCATGACTGTACCAGCTGTGAATGTATTTAACAAAAAGAAAAAATGCACTGCCCTGAAGACTAGCTCTTAGCAGTAGTTAATCTTTTTTCCCCATGGAGCTATTTATGGACTCAAACCATCAGCCCTTTGGGTTTGAAGCAAAAACGCAATGCACTGTGCCACCAGTCCTTTCCAGATACCCCCTTCCCTGTTGCTCCCTGTGGGACTTATCACTGTCCATTAGCTAAAGAGATCATGCCTAGACAGACCCACTAGAACCTCCAGGTGGCTACTCAAGGACCATTATGACCGGGATCTACACATTTAAATGGATGCCCATGACTTACTGGTTATTAAATGTGTTTACTTTGTATTTTGTTGTTGTTGTTATGAACTGTTGAGTTGGTTCCAACTCATAGCTCACCTTACAACAGGTTTTCAAAGGCAGTCAATTGCACAAGAAAAGATTGCCCATCTTTCTCTCTTGTGGATTCAAACCACATGCCTTCAGGTTGAAAGCGCAGCTCCTTACCACTAAGCCACCAGAGCTCTTTTGCCCCAAGAACTAAATGTTAAGGCCAAACAATTTTTACTGACCATGAATCTTATACCGTTGAAGTTTGTGGTAGAGAAAGCTAAAGAATCAGTCACAGGCAGTGTTTGCAGGAACTTGGGTTTTATTTAAACAATAATGTGTGGAATTGTGATGAATTCAGATTCAAAGTATGCCCGTGATGGCCATTTTTTAACACTGACTTAAAAAATGAGCGCTTTCTGATTTTAAAGACTCCTTCCACAAAGTTGGTATATCTTGACCTGTTGTACCAACTAGAATTGTTGCCTAGCTTGTTTGGGGTTTTGGGGTTTTTTACTTCTTTTGTGTTAATGAATCTATCTGCCCACCCATCCATGGACTAAATCTCTCCTGACCACACACCATGTAGCAGGCATCTGGGAGCACTGAGGATGGCCCTCTTCCTGTGTTAGTTAGGTGCTGGTTTGGTCATTTCTCTCCTCTCCTTCCTTCAGTTTCTCTCTGGCTGCCTTACCCTGACGTTGTTTACTGATAGCTCCCCAAATGCTCTTGTGTCCATTGCAGATGCCCCCAAGCCTCCCGTAGAAGACACCTATCTCCGATTTGATGAATATGGGATCTCAGGGCGGCCCAGACGGTCCGCTGGAAAGTCCCAGAAGGGCCTGAATGTGGAAACCCTAGTGGTAGCAGACAAGAAAATGGTCGACAAGCATGGCGTGGGAAATGTGACCACGTACATTCTCACGGTCATGAACATGGTAAGCCAGGCTGCTAGGACTCTAATCCTTCTAGCTCTCCAAGGAAGGTCAAATCTAGTCTTCCGTTGCCTGGACTGAGTCACAGGTCTAAGCACATTATGTGAATGGGGAGAAGGAGTTGGGATTTAGGAAATTAGCTGCACTTGTATGTGTATTTGGTGACTTTAAAGCCCTGTACCATGGACTGCCAAGAAAATAAATTTAACGTGGAGAGGATTAAACCAAGTTGCTCCTTGGAGACAAGGATTCTGAGACTTCATCTGACTTATTTTGTACATGTTGTAAGGAGGGATTAGTCCTTGGAGAGGGACATCATGCTTGGGAGGGTGGAGGGACAGCGCAGGAGGGCAAGGGCCTCTATGAGGTGGATTGATTCAGTGACTGGGGTAATCAGAATGGGTGTATCGAAGACGGTGTGATTGGCACAGAACAGAGCAGAGTTTAGGGCTTTTGTATATAGGGTCGCTATGAGTTGCAAGTGACTCGATGACACATAACAACAACAACATACCTCTAAATAGGGAGCTCTGGTGGTCTGGTGGCAAGGAGCTGTACTGCAATCCTGAAGGCATGCGGTTTGAGGCCACCGGCTGCTCCTCGGAGAAGGATGGGCAGTCTTCTCTTGTGCAGTTAACTGCCTTTGAAAACCCACCCAACTATGGGTCAGTTTTGACTCTGTGGTACACAACAACAATAACATACTCCTAAATACATTTGAGAGATTTCCTCTATAAGGTGTTGGAAATTTTGAAAGTTGGCTCATTTTCTTTTATGAAATTGTCCTGACAGGTTTCCAGCTTGTTTAAAGATGGAACCATTGGAAGCGACATAAACATTGTTGTGGTGAGCCTCATTCTTCTGGAAGAGGAGCCTGTAGGTGGAAAACTTCATTTGTTTCTTCATTTATTGCCATTCAGGATGCTTTTATTGAACACCTACTATGTGTCAGTCCCTGTACTATTCATTAGATATTAAATCTGGAAATATGTGGACTCTGGCCTCAACTCTTATACCACAGCATAAATCTGTGCAAACAAACAGCTAAAACCCTAAAAATAATTGTGTGTGTGTGTAGCAAACACACACTAGAATATATATTTACATATGAAATAGTAAATGTGGCCTATATAATATAAATGCTAACATAAAGGATATAAAAGGAAAGCATAAATATTATGTTGGTTTCACAAAGAAAATACATGGGGTTATATTTTTAAAGGCTAGTTGAAATTTGCTAGTTGGCTGTGCTGAGAAACTGAAGGCTAGTGTAGGAAGATGATTTGAAAGTATACAGAAGCCAGTTATGAAAAACTATTATAGTAAATTCACTGTGTCCACACAGGACCTTTTAAAATACTCTGAAGAATAAATAAGGGCTGTTTAACTGCTCTTGAGTTGATTGCAATGAAGCACAAGACACGAATAATGGGCAAATTACAAGGCATTTGAGAAAATGTTCATTTCCTGGTGCGGGCTGCTTTGTACTGTTTTGATGTCGGAACTGTGTTTTGGGGAGGTGGGGCCTACCAAGCGAACCAACTTTTCTGAAGAGCCCTGAGGGTTTTCCTCTTTTTCTGTAACCCTTGAAGAAGGATGCACAAAGGAGGGAGATAGAGACAAGTCTAAATGATTCTAATTGCCCAGGTGTGTAGAGCCACGGAGGTTAACAGCTAGTCAAATTATTCTTGGAATTTTAGAAAGACAGGGTGTGTGTTGGTTGAGAGACATTTTGATCTTTAACCTACCACTTATGCATTGCTCAAGGCCATCAAAGCCAGGGCTATCCTAACTCATGGATAATTAAAGGCCTCAGCTGAAAAAACTATCAGACTGACCAAGGTCAATAGTCTTAAGTAAACATTTTGATAAAGGATTGTTTTAAGAGTAAGACCTAGTCTCCCTTTAGAGTCTTACAATTGTCCTTTTACTCTTCTATTCAGTGAGCTTGCATTTTTAAATTTTTGATTGATTGATTAAAGTCTATGATGTATCAGGCCTGTCCTGGAAATTGTCATACACATTTAAATAAACTATTGTATTTGTCTTCCTAAAGCCCATAGTCTATTGAAGAAGCTATTGTGATTAATGTATCATATTCTAAGAGAATATAAACGTTTTACAAGAGGTATAAACAAACAAAGGTGTTCCTAATGTATCAGATTTTTACGTTCTATGTCGTTTTTTGCCACCTGTGCCACCCCTGTACCAACCGTGTGCATTATTTTTGTGAGCTTCATGTGTGTGTGTGCCCGAGTTATTTCCTTGGGCACACACTGTTTGCAAAATTAAGGTCATGTATGTTTGTTGTAGAGATATACTTGGTCATGAACTCTTGGTTACTGATCCTTTGTAGTTGATTTTAATATTATGAACATTAACCCAAAATAGAATATTTTGCTAACTTTCTCAAGTGCCTTCCCTTTCTCTCTCCAAACATGTTTGTATGGTTTTGCCTGTACCAATAGAATGACGCGCTGACCAATGTGGCTTTTCTCTAGGGGGGACTGCGCATCAATCACCACGCAGACCAGTCTCTGAACAGCTTCTGTCAGTGGCAGTCTGCTCTCATTGGGAAGAATGGCAAGCGGCATGACCACGCCATCTTGCTCACAGGCTTTGATATCTGTTCCTGGAAGAACGAACCGTGTGACACTCTAGGTACGCTGGGTTATCATTCAAAGGCTCAGACAATGCTTTGAACGGTTGACTGCTTAGTATTTTCCTGAAGAAAATGTATTCCTGTTAGACAGCAATGAACACAACAAAGAATAGCTGGAATGCATGAACCCATTACGCCAAAACTCTGCGGAATGTTTTGGGATCGTAAGAGGGGACTCTGTGTGTGTGTGTGTGTGTGTGTGTGTGTGTGTGTGTGTGTGTGTCTGT